AGAGAGAGAGAGAGAGAGAGAGAGAGAGAGAGAGAGAGAGAGAGAGAACATGCTCACATGCATGCATTCATCCATACAGATGCCTGTGGAGGCTAGAAGAAGACAGTGGGTTGCACATGGCTGACATATATATGGTGGGATCTGAACTCAGGTTCTCTATACTCTTAATCCCTGAGCAATCTTTCTTGCCCTAGTCTTTGGCTTTTCACTCTTTCTAGCTTCCTTGCAGGAAGCAGGCAGAGGAGCATCCTCTGGCAGCAGGTTATAGGGAAAGCCCATAATATTGAGGCTGCTGAAAACCATTTTGTGACATATGGCCAGAGGTCCCCTCTTTGTAGCAGGATATTTCCCCAAAACATTTACCATAAACTCAGTAATTTGGGAGGAGCTAATGTGGGGGGAGTAAGGAGAGGAAGAGGAGAAGAGGAGGAGTAGCTAAAGGGGACAGATGTAGGAGCCACGGAGAACCACGCGTATATTGAGAGCAGTCCTGGGTAACAACTTATATCTAGGTTAGTTATTTGAGTAACACCTCCAATTGTGTAAGCATCTTGTTATTTGAGCATTACTAAATATATAAAGCCTTTGAATAATCTTTAAGCACTAGAGTCTCATTTCTACTGGGTACCAAGTGGATGGCAGAATGGTCTGGGCTCACCCCAACCTTGTGGAGACAGTGTGGTAGGTGTCTAGTGGGTGGCAGGTCCAGTACTTCTGGCTCACCTCAGTGGACGGCCTGAGCTGAGTAGCAGCATGTTCCCAAAGCCACTAATGGCCTTAGGCCTTGCCTAGTCGAGAAGATGGCAGCCCCATACCACAAGACAGATCAGGTGCTGCCGTTTTAAATATTACCAGTAACACCTTTTGACTCACCACACCACATGTGACCTCAGGCACCATGCCACACATGACTTCATGTACCATGCCACAAGAGATTTCATGCTCTCACATTCTTGGGAAATTTGTCTTTGAATTGAAAGAACACAGAAGTGCTTCTTAAAAGAACACAGAAAGCAGCCTTATACAGCTGACTAAAAGCCATTATTTTCCTCAGTATGGTGTTATACACCTTTAATTCCAACTCTTGGGAGGCAGAGGAAGGCACTTCAAGTACCGTGAGTTCAAGAACAGCCTGGTCTTTACTATGAGTTCCAAGCTAGCCAGGGCTGCATAATGAAACTCTGCCAAAAAATAACTTAATTAGTTAATTAACTCATGCCTGGTGCCTTCAGAGGCCAGAAGAGGGTTTCTGACCCTTGGAACTGGAGCTGCAGGTTGTTGGTGCTCAGGTTAATCACAGCCTCCATGTGCGAGGTGTGATTAAATGCACGTTCTCTGCGTGACCTGCCAGCACCCAAACCATTGAGCCATCTCTGCAGACCCTGTGCGTTTCTTTTTTCCCATGTGTGTTGCTGTACTTGATTAATCTGCTCTAAACGCCCTGGCCCAATATTCTCGAATGAAAGAGACACACACACACACATGTACACACACACACATACACACACACACACACACAGAGAGAGAGAGAGAGAGAGAGAGAGAGAGAGAGAGAGAGAGAGAGAGAGAGACTTATATTTAATATGCCTTAATCAGCTCAATGTCTGGATCACTCCCAAGCTTCCGCATTGCTAACGCCTACCCTCAGATACTCCTGAACTATTACTAAAATCTATATTCCATCTTTGCTACCCCAGACCCAATCAGGGGCCCCTAGGGCCGCTCTTGCCCAGGTCTTACATGACTGTTATGCCTTTCTTCCTGCAGCTCTCACGCCTGGTTCTTATGGCTCCTGGCATGGCAGTACTAAATCATTCTTCTTTCCTCCGTTCCCTTGCCTGGGAAATCTAAAGTCTGCCCCTGCCTCCCTGCCCAGCCATTGGCCACTAGCAACATTATCTACAATTGGAACCAACTGGGGGCAGGGACCCTCAGCGTCTTACATGCAGGATTCTCGTGTAATATTTTGGAAACCCAATTAACATAATACAATCATTAAATCAAATCCACATTTCCCCTTTTCATCCATTAAAAAGGCCTTTTCTCTCAGATATACATGAAGATATTTATCACAGTTATGTAAACTATAAGGTGTGATATAAGATATGATATACACTAATAACATCCAGTCCATCAATTCTGTCAATTTAGGTACATCTCTCTAACATCTACGCTAACTTAAAGAGTTTACAATTCTATACTGAATTATGTTTTGATCTTAACTTGCATTACCATCTGAAAACCATCCTTTCAAATCTACATCATCTTCCTCAGTGCTAAACAACTTAAATTTGATTATGAGACTATAACTAGTGTTCAACCCCATCAGCGATCCGAGAATGAATTCAGTATTACCTGAGTACATAGGGAGCACAGGAACATAGCTCCTAAAACTTAGTTTGTAGAGACAGCTGACTACCTGCACAGCCCCCCCCCCCATTCCTCAAAACATCAGAGCATCTGTCTTCAGCCTTCTGGCCCAGGGCCATCTGACAGACCTTAAATGAAGCAGGAGCTATGAAGGACTAGTTTACCCTGTCATGGCTGTTGACTATCCCACACTGTGTGTCCTTTCCTGGACAGTATTTTTGTCTGTAGATGAATCAGAGTAATTCTTCTCCAGTGGTTACCTTGCCACAACTGGAGCAACTCTATATGGAAGGGTTTTTTGTTGTTGTTGTTGTTGTTGGTTTTTTTGTTTTTTTGTTTTTTTTCGATTTTTTTGAGACAGGGTTTCTCTGTGTAGCCCTGGCTGTCCTGGAACTCACTCTGTAGACCAGGCTGGCCTCGAACTCAGAAATCCACCTGCCCCTGCCTCCCAAGTGCTGGGATTAAAGGTGTGCACCACCACCCCCCGGCTATATGGAAGTTTTGGTGCTCAGTATCTTCTTTGAACTGTGCAGGGGGTACTGTCAGGAGTAGACATGTCTCAGTCAAAAGATCTATTAATAAGTGAAATGACTGTAAGTGTCATATTCTGTGGACCTCTGATGCTTCTGAAGATGATCTATCTGTATAAAGAATATCTGAACTGAAACCTTTACTACTCAACTATTTCTATCTCAATCATATTGAAAACACCCTATTATAATTAAATCAGAATCTAATATAACCAAGAGTTTACTATCTAGCCCTTAACTTGTGTTACTTAATCATCCTAAACAGTTTGTAATAGCAGCTATAGAAGGACTGAGTCTAAGCCTTTTATTCTTAAATGAGTTACATAGTCACAATGCCTATTTAAGAGTAACAATATTAATTTCAAATTTTGTAACAATATAAAAAATTTATGCCGGGCGGTGGTGGCGCACGCCTTTAATCCCAGCACTTGGGAGGCAGAGGCAGGCGGATTTCTGAGTTCGAGGCCAGCCTGGTCTACAGAGTGAGTTCCAGGACAGCCAGGGCTACACAGAGAAACCCTGTCTCGAAAAAACCTAAAAGAAAAAAAAAAAAAATTTATATCAATGAAAACCTTAAGTCAATATATAAATTCTATACCAATGTAAGAAATTGTAACTTTAATTTTTTTTAATTATAAAGAGTTCTACCGGCTGGGCAGTGATGGCGCACACCTTTGATCCCAGCACTTGGGAGGCAGAGGCAGGTGGATTTCTGAGTTCGAGGCTAGCCTGGTCTACAGAGTGAGTTCCAGGACAGCCAGGGCTATACAGAGAAACCCTGTCTTGAAAAACCAAAAAAAAAAAAAAAAAAAGAAAAAAGAAAAAAAAAAGAAAAGGAGTTCTACCAATGTAAGATTATGACTATATAATGATTTAAGAATAAATTTAGTAAAAAAAAAATAAATTTAGTAATTTATTCCATATATCTAATTTTTATACTAATACTCTATCCCCTTTCCCCCCTTCAACTCTGCATATGTGTGTACTCATGTGTATGTGCCTGCATGCAGAGCCCAGAGGCTGAGGTCACATGTCTTCCTTGATGACCTTCACCTTCCACATTGAAACAGTGTCTCTCTGTACTCAGCCTCTCTGTAGGCAGCCTGTTTCAACAGCATGTTTCAGCCTGCATATGCTAGTGTCTGTCTTAGAAGCTACTAGCATCAGCTGGTGGTGCATGTCTTTAATGCCAGCACTCAGTAGGCAGAAACATTCAGATCTCTGAGTTCCAGGACAACCTAGTCTACAGAACAAGTTCCAGGACAGCCAGGGCTACACAGAGAAATCCAGCCTCAAAAAAAAAACAAAATAAATAATAATTTGAAAAACAAAAGCAAACTGCATTCTGGGGCTGAGCATGCGCAGAACATTCTGCCTATCACTGTACAGTCATTTACATGTGCGTTTTTCAATCTTGTGATAAGAATGGCCAAATGTGAGTCTGGCATCTTTCTGTCTCCCCACCTCTCTCTCTCTCTCACTCACTGTTTTTTGAGACAGCATCTCTCTATATAGCCCTGATTGACCTGGAACTCACTAAGTAGACCAGGCTGCTCTCAAACTCAGATAGATCCTCCTGTTTCTATGTTCCTAGTGCTGGAATTAAAAGCCTGTGCCACTATGCCTGACTATTTGTCCTAAATCTGAGTGAGGTTGAATGCAAAGGCCGTGGGTTAAAGTTAAATAGTCTGGCAGATGCAGTAGAATGGCCCCTATAGGTGCATATATTTGAATACTTAGTCACCAGAATTCTTTGTAAGAATTAGAAGGTATGGCCTTGCTAGAGGAGGTATGTCACTGTGAGTGGACTTTGAGGTTTCAAAAGTCCAAGACAGGCCCACAGTCTGCCCACCCCCTCTGCCTACAGATCAGGATATACCTCTCAGCCACTTCTCCAGCACACTGTCTGCATGCATGCTATCATGTTCCCTCCATGGCCCCTCCATGCTCCCTCCATGTCCCTTCCGTGCTCCCTCCATGCTCCCTCTGTGCTCCCTCTGTGCTCCCACCATGTGCCCTCTGTGCTCCTTCCGTGCTTCCACCACGTGCGCTCCATGCACTCCCTCCACGATCCCACCATGCTGATAATGGGCTAAAGCTCTGGAATTGTAAGCTAGCTCCAATCAAATGCTTTCATCTGTGGGAGTTTCCTTGGTCTTGATGTCTCTTCACAGCAAAAGGACAAAGACTAAGACAACAGAAGAAATCTTAAAACAGTCTGACTTGCAGGCTATGGCCTTTCTGCTTAGGTGTAAGCCACCATGCCTAGTTTTCCTCACATTCATCATGCAAGAGGCACAAGGCACATGTGGGAGGCTGAAGCAGGAGGATCATGAGGTTTGAGGTTATCTGGATCATCTAGGGAGATAAATTATTTCCTTACATGATGTGGGAGCTGGAGGTGGCTCAGGCTAAGAGTACATTCTGCCCTCACAGAGACCAGCGTGTGGTTGCCAGCACCTGTGTCAGGCAGCTTCAGGGGATACAATGCCCTCTTTTGGCCTCTGTGGACACTACACTCATGTTCACATGCACACACACAGTTCAAATAATAAAATAAAACTTGAAGAAATACAAAGGGGGAGGAAGGGAGGGTAAAGGGGAGAGAGATGGAGGAAGGGGTGAGGGGCAGGGGGAGGGTAAAGGGGAGAGAGATGGAGGACGGGGTGAGGGGCAGGCAGAGAGCTGCCCATGGTCACATTAGCTCTCTCACCTTGCATCTGATTGGCTTCTTATTTTCATGATATTGATTCTTGAAATATAAGATAACATGAACTTTCTTGATATCAAATCCACAAATATCAGGTCCTACAAAAAAAGAAAAAGAAGAAAATGGGGAAGAAAAGGGTACTCTCAGTTCTCTTCCATACTGTTTCTGCATACAGACATTGCCTAAGCATGCTCGTCAGCATGGGGCAGTAACTTCATCTATCTGTAGGTGCTCTTGAGTTCACCAGAAGACATTGAAACAAACCTCTGCTGACTGGCTCCCTCTTGTCAAAGTCACTTCGCACTCAACTGTGAATCAGCACAAATGAGAAAACAAGGCCAATGGGACATCGTGTCAGACTCTCACAACAGAGCACTGGGAGGCTGAGGGAGAAGACTACCAATCCCAGGCCAGCCTGGGCTATTTGACGAGTGCCTGGCTCAGAAAGCAAAGCACTGAGCTGGAGAGACAGCTCGGAAGGTGATGTTGGTGATCACCAGGCTGAGGACCAGAGTTCAATCTCCGGGAACCACAAGGTGGAAAGAGATGGCTGCACCTTGGCCTCTGATTCCACATGTGCACCATAAATAATAATTATTAGTACATTTGCTTGGTTGGGTTTTTTTGAGACAGGGTTTCTCTGTGTAGCCCTGGCTTTCCTGGTTCTGTAGACCAGGCTGGCCTCGAACTCAGAGATCTACCTGCCTCTGCCTCCTGAGTGCTGGGATTAAAGGTGTGAACCACCACTGCCCAACAATACTTTTTTTAAAGTTTGTTATGTGTGACTCTCTCTTTCTCTGTGCATGTATACATGTCCATGCCAGGGGCTGATTGTCTGCATAAGCTGCTCTTAAAGGGGCCAGCAGCTTTTTGGGCTTCTATGGTAAGGGAGCTGATGGCTGTTTTTTCCTAGAAAATTCTCTCTGGTTGTGTTTATTGGATTCAGCAAGTGACAAGGTGCTTTTCTCTTGAAATTACAGCTAGAAAAAGTAAGCATTTTGTCTGGTTTAAATAAGTAAATGGCCAGGCAGTGGTGGCGCATGCCTTTAATCCCAGCACTTGGGAGGCAGAGGCAGGCGGATTTCTGAGTTCGAGAGTTCGAGGCTAGCCTGGTCTACAGAGTGAGTTTCAGGACAGCCAGGACTACACAGAGAAACCCTGTCTCAAAAAAAAAAAAAAAAAAAAAAAAAAAAAACCAAAAAAAAACCAAAAAAAAACAAAAAAAAACAAAACAAAAACAAAAAACAAACAAAAACAATGTCTCTCTTTAGTGAGGTATTAAAAGCTACACTGTCATGCATTCATAGATACAAACAAGTAATGCTCTTGGTGTTGATTCTTAAAGAGAATGGATTGTGGGCTGGAGACATGGCTCAGCGGTTAAGAGCACTGACTGCTCTTCCAGAGGTCCTGAGTTCAAATCCCAGCAACCACATGGTGGCTCACAACCACCCATAATGAGATTGGATGCCCTCTTCTGGTGTGTCTGAAGACAGCTACAGTGTACTCATATACTTAAAATAAATAAATAAATCTTTAAAAAAAAAAAAAAAAAAAAAGAGAGAATGGATTGTTTAAAACTGGGTTTTGTTTTCCAAGGTTATGAGTATGCTCTGATATTGCAAGGGAAAGTTAGAGGTATGGTTGGACTTCCAGTGTTCCATTGACTGCAGTTTGCAGTTCAATAGCAGGCTTGGGATTTCTGACTCACCCATGTTTGTAGCTGAGAAGAGTATTTAGCAGATGGAGATGACTAAAAGAGTTAAAAACAGCTGTAGCACAGCACAGGCCTGCTGCCCCTTTTATACAAGCTTTAATGGATACTGT